AGAGGAAGCGGTGTGGCAAGAAAGCAGGAATAAAGTGGTCTTCTGCTTTGAGCTTAAGCTGGGGAAATTGGATGTCCTCAACTGAGGTATCATTCGCTTGTTCATTCAGTATTTATTCTGGCTCTACCGTATTCCTGGAATGTGTTTAAAGGGGATAAAGTATAGGCTTAGAAGGAACATAGATCTGTAGCACATCTTGACTCTGTACCTTCCCAGCTGTGTGACTTTAAGAAGAGAGATTTATTTATTTGAGCCTCGTTTCTTTTTTGGAAACAAAAAGAAGTGTGGCTTATAATACCTACTTGCAGGGTTGTTGTGAGGTATGATAATTTATATGAAGTTCTTTGTAGAGGTATCTGACGTGCAGTAAACATTCCACAAGTGGTCACCTAATTTTGTATTGAAGTATATTTCATTTGATGTGAATTTCACCATTTTAACCATTTTAAAATGTGTGCAAGTGAGTGTTTTTTAGTATATTCACAATGTTCTGTAACCATCACCACTGCTTAATTCCAGAACATTTTTGTAACCCAAAAAGAAAAGAAATCCATGTTCCCCACTGAGCAGTCACTCTTTATTGCCCCTTTCCCCCGCTCTTGGTAACAACTGAACTACTTTTGGTCTCTATGGACATTTCATATAAATGAAATCAGTACATGGCCTTTGTGCCTGGCTTCTTTCACTTTGCATATTTTCAAGATTCATCCATGTTGTAGCATGAGTCAGTACATCATTTCTTTTTATGGTTGAATAATACTTTGTTGTATGGGTATACCACATTTTGTTATCTATTCATAAGTTGATGGCCAGTTGGGGGTTTTTCCACCTTTTGGCTGTTAATGAATAATGCTGCTATGAACATTCATATGTAAGTTTTTGTTTAGGTATATGTTTTCATTTGTCTGGCATATACACCTAGGAGTGGAATTGCTGGGTTATGGTAATTAGCTTTCTGAGGAACTGCCATGCTGTTCTCCACTGTGGCTGCCCATTCTACATTCCCCAACAGGAATATGTGAGAGTTCCAGTATCTTTACATTCTTTATAACACTTGTTATTTTCCTTTTATTTTTGATTAGAGCCATCCTAATGAGTATAAAGTGGTATCTCATTGTAGTTTGGATTTGCATTTCCCTAATGACTGATAATATTGAGCTCCTTTCATATGCTTATTGGTGTAGCCTCTTTTTATTATTCTTTCATTAAACATTTTTGTTTGATGAGTCTCTATTGTGTGGATAGTTCTATGATATGGGCCCTGCCCTGAGGTTACTCATATGCCAGTGGGTAAGATCTTTAAGCAGATAATTGCAAATACTAAGATAACAGACTACAAAGAAGGTTTGTAGGATGTGTAGATGTGTAAGGCATCTTTGAGGAGGACGAAGGAGATGAGTGGAGGCTAAGCAGAGTTTGTCAAGCACACCAGGAAGGAGAAGGGCATTCTAATTAGATGAAGAGCTTAGAGCCTTGGGTATAGCTTGTGGGGGGATGAGGACTCCTGTCATCAGATGGGGAGTGTCACCCGTCTCAGGCAACTAAGCAGGTCTCTACCTCCAGAAGAAAGCCTGCCCCAAGCCAGCAGAAGCCAGCAGGCAATCCTTGCTGAGCTCTGTCATCCACTGTGCCTTTGTCTGCACAGGGCTCTGTTGTTTTCAAGGAACATTTGCTGAGCTGATTTGATCCTCACTTGAGGTAGATTTTGTATCTCCATTTCTACAGAGAAAAAATGATGCTCAGTGAGGTAGCAGCTTGCCTGACATCTCACACCTACAAAGTGACAGAACTGGACTTGGAATCCAGGTTGTCTGACTCCTACTTTATTCCACATCTGTACATGGAGCCTCAGCTCTTCTCAACTTGGCATTCAAGGCCACTTATTCTCTAGTTTCAACTACCTTTTCTTCCCTTCTCACCTCTCCCTCCTGCCTGTAACTGAACCATCTTTTATAACTATTTCAGTCTAAATATTTCCCAGCCTCCCCCTTTTGGCTTCTATTCTTTACCCCCCTTTTGTAGTCTAGATTCTTACTGTCCTTTAAATGGCTATCCTTTTATAAGCACCAACTGTTGAAGTGCCATTCACTCTGCTCAAGTTTTTAACACACAAAAATGATCACCTTCACAATGTTCTGGCAATGTGAATAGGAATTATTTACTTCAATTTATAGATGAGGAAATAGTCTCAGAGAAGTAAATTAACTTACTCAAGATCACCTAGCAAGTAAGGAGTCTTGCTAAAATGCCACCTCCTTTCAAAAGCCTTCCAGGGTTATACTGACCTAAGTGATCTCCTTTGCTTCTAAAATCCTTTAGCAGTTACTTCTCCCTTATTCAAATTCAGCATTTGAGATCTTGGGTTATCTTTTCTTGTGTTTTTATCTTATATCCCCGACTGGATATTTGTTCATCTGTGTCCCCAGGGCCCAGTTTAGATCCCACAGAGTAAATTCTCAGTAAATGTTAAGCTGAGACATAGAAGGCAAAGCTCTGGATCTGGATTATATGGTCTGAGTTCTCCTACATTCATGTTATGACACTAATTTCTGTGACCTTGCACAACAGTGAGCTCTCCAGGATGGGGGCCCTGTTCATCCTGCCCCTCCTTTATTCCTGGGCCTGAGAGTTGCATGGATGGCTGCACAGACTTCACTGTTTAGAACCTCATTTTTCGCATCTGCATTTTGAAAGGTAGAATTGGATGATCTGAGGATCATTCTCCATCCAGATGTTAACCTAGTTTTGTGAGTCCGAACGATTGCTTTTCTCCACACCAATGTGATCTTGAGCTACAGAGTTTCAGCCCAGGGAGGCATAACATAGCTTCTCATTTCTAGTTTGGTGGCTGCATGTCAAACTTTGCCCTTGACCTTGTCAAACTGAAGAGTAGCCCAGGAGCTTGGCCCCAACACATTCATAAATCCTAATACCACCCTCTCATCCTCTCTCTTTCTCTCTTTTTGTCTGTTGTACGCACACACATACACACACACACACACACCATTGGAAGATAATTTCATCTGAAGTACTTTTTTTAGGTTTTACATTTTAACAGCCTTTTGACTTAGAAGTCAGCAATGATTTGTAGGTGGGAAAGTGTTGCTCTTTTAGAAAAACCAGAGTCCCTATTGTTGTTCATGCCTAACCCATTGGATGTATTTTATAGGCACAAAGAGTGTAAGAAAGAGCCATTGTTGTGAAAATAGAAACCCAAGGATTGCTCCTCTGCTTAGTGGAAAAGGCCATTTTCATCAGTAGGGGCTTGTTAACAAAGACCACCTCTTTTTTTTTTCTGAGCAGTTCATTTATCATCCTTACCCTACTTAAATCATTTATTTAGCTTTTTTTTTTTTTTTAATTAAATCTCGATTCACTTTATGCTTAAGAGAAGAAAATGATTCAGAACACGTTGATAGTACCAATTAAAATGTGCCATCCATTGAATGCCCAGTGTGTAGCAGGCACTGTTCAGTGAGTTGCGCGACTTATTACTTTCATCCTCACAACCTCCATTATGAGGAAAGACCTGAGCTCGGAGAGATTGAGGCCCTTATCCACCTCATCCCGTCATAGAAAAGCTGAGGTTCACACTTAAGTCTCTGATACTGAACTCCCACCTCTGACCAGCTGGGCCTTCATCCCTAAGACCATTTGGGAAGATTCAGCATTTGAGTACATTCTGGAATAGTTATGTGCTTATAAGCTGCCTTCTCAGCTTTACTAACAAGTCGTGAGGAGAGAAGCCTGGCCTGGGAACAGTGTAAGAGCATGTTTAACACATGCAAATACACACACACACACACACACACACACACACACACACATACACACACACCCTTTGGAGATTGGATTTAACTAATTACCTGGCCATATGCTACATCCAGCATTGGGCAACATGCTACAAAATGCATTTAGAGCATAGCAGTTGGGAACCTTGGAGGACTATGAGAAACAGCAGTCTCTAAAGTGTCAGTTTAAGCCCTGCACACAAAGTATTTTACTACAAGGAGACAGTTTCAGAGAAGATTCAGATTTTTACCTCTGGAGCCCTCTTGTTCGAACTTTTATTTTTGGACATATCCAATGAGAGACAAGTCTGAAAAGTCCAGTTTGAAATCTGTGCAGAAAAAACAAAAAACAGGTTATCTGGGGTTGAGCTTAAAGAATGAGAAAATGAGGAGAAATAATATCCTTTTGTATTTGTGTAGTGCTTTGCATTTAGTAGGTGTTGTGAGCACATGTAAGCAGTGGGCGAAGGTGCCAGAGGCCTCTTTCCCACTCCTGGCTCTTCTCTTCCTCAGACTCATGTGGTGGGCAAGCCTCTTCCATCCTCTGGGTTTGAATTTCCTAGTGTAACATGAGAGAGTTGGACGACTTGTACACTGAGGTCCCCACAGCCATGCTTAGATTCAATACCAGTAAAAAGGGGATAAATGCTATTCTCCCCCATCTGCCTGACCTCAGCCTGCCTTGTGTCAGGGCTATGAAGATATCCCTTCCCTTCTAGCACAGGCCTTACATCCCTATCAGCTATAATCCCTCTCATACCTATTGGTACTTGAACTGACAGAAACCCTCCAAGTTCTCCTGGGAAGACACTTGGCTTAGAAAGATCTCAGTTGAGTTGAGGGATTCATGTGCCATTTTAGTTTAGACCAGATAGCAATCTAAGGGCTGTTCCAATTCAAGAGTTTAGAATTCCATAAAAGGGTACCCTTTAGGATATACTTGAAAAACCCCTAAGCAAATTCACTGAGTGCTGTTTCAACACTTTGTATGGCAGTGCTTTTAGCAAACACCCTTGATCCTAGAGTTTGATCTGCACTGATATTAGGATCCCTGCATGCAAAAGGGAACCAGCCTTGAGTTTGTTTACTTTTCCTTTTTGACTGGCCTGGCCTCAATTAGTTTCTAGCATTTGAGGTTTTGGGCATTTTGAACTCATAATGATTCATTTTAACTCATGATGAACCTTGTTCTCTTGATATGCATTTTAGAAGACAAATCTGACCTTGAAAACAGTGTGATGCAGAAGAAAATAAAAATCCCCAAACTTTCTCTTAATCATGTAGAAGAAGATGGAGAGGTTAAAGATTATGGGGAAGAAGATGTACAGCTTAGACACATCAAGGTAACAAAATCTTTTCTTTCTTTGGAAGCATGTGGGAGAATTTTCAGATATCTCATAGCTGAAGAATTTCAGTCTGGCTTCCTCTCCCCATGTAAATGTCCCCTGGTATCACAGGCCATGATTTTTTCAGGGTAGGGGAAGCATGGGACAACTAGTGCGTATTTGCCTTCCTGGCCAACTTTCCAGAGAGCCCTGATTCATGCTGTGCCACCAAGCACAGTCCTGTTTGCATAGTCTATGCAGTGTGATCGCTGTTGGAGGTTTGGAACGATGTGTTTTTCCTTGGCCCACAGCTCTGGAGAGGTCACTGCTGAGCTCCAAGAACATTACACAGCTGTTCTTGGGCAGAAGTTTAGAGCCAGTCACTATCAGATTGCCCCCAGACACCTAAGGCTGGACTCATTGGAAAGTACACAAAGTTCACAGAAGGGATTTGTGAGACCCTGGGTTAGATGAAAATTCATGAGGTTGCATTTTCTTGCTGTGTGCCCCAGTTGGTCTCCTCCAGGCTTCACTTTGGAAACTGCTGAAAATCTTGTTTGGCAAGCTAGCTGTTTTTTTCTGTGCAGTAGATACCTGAGAGGAAGGGAGAAGGAAGATAAGGAAATGGGCTGTCTTCTGCATTGACCATGATCTGATTTTGGACACAAGGTCAAGGGTGTTCCCAAGGAACATAGTTGAGTTCAGTTCACAGCATTCACTGTATTCCTGCTATAGGCCTGGCCCCGTGCTGGTACCCGGAGCCATTAGCCAGACATAGTCTCTGCCTCCAGTGGTCTCACATTACAGTGACGCAGACATATCGTAGTGATCCCTTTAGACAAATGATAGATTCATCTACACTAGTAGCACCTTATCCCAGCAGATAAAACAACTTAAGATTTTGTCATGTAACACAATATCAGAGTCATGGTTCCATTGGGCTGGGTTTGGTTTGATTTTCCTTAAATTTCCTGAAACTTTGTGAGAAGTGCCTAGAATCTCATGTCCTCAGTTGTCTGCACTTCCTACCAGTGCCCCAGTCAGGAAAGCTCCTAACCCTCCCACCCTGAGTGAAGAATTCAGTTAGTTGATCCTGTAACTCTCACTGCCCCTCAGTGGAAGCTAACGACTACTTGAGTTAGATTTTCCTCAAGCTCGGGAACCCCAAGCCCTGGGGGATCCTAGATAATTCTCTTGTAAATGAACTGTCCTCTCTCTATCCTCTGTCTTGCTGAGGGGGAGGCTGGCAGATGTGGGGGAAGGAGGCTTGTGCTGGAAGTGAGATTCCGAATTCTGGTTTTGGCTCTGTCTGTATCTCACCGGGTGACCCTAAGTGTAGTCCTTTCCTTCTCTGACCCTCAGTGTTCTCATCTGTAATATGAGGAAGTTAAACCGAAAGTACCTTTCAATACTAGAATTCTTTGAACTTTTCAGTTGAGCAAACATTTTTCAAGCCCCTACTGAGAGCCAGTTCTAAGTGAGTAGGCAGAGGAGAAACAGAAAATAAGACATGTTTTCTGCCCTAGATTAGAGTAGATTAGAGTTTTTAACACCCTTTCCATTTAAAGGTTTCTTTATGGAAAGTTTGCGCAGTGAATTGCCTTTAGGAGAGGAATTTTATGTTTTTGTTGTTGAAGAAATTTGTGACTCCTCTGGGACCACTTGGCCTGACCTGATTTCTCCTTGATTCTCCACAAATAAATATTGAGCACCCTCATGAGCAAGTTACGGCCTAGGCATTGTGGGTGGGCTGGGGTCAGGGGTGTTGGGAAGGGTGGTCATGGTATACGCATCCAGGAGGCAGAGTGGTAAAAAGGAAAAAGTGCAGGCCTGGGAAACCAGTGTCCTGGTTCTGCCACCTGCTGACTGTATGACTTTGGGCAAGCCCCTTCCCCACTCGGAACCTCTGTTTCCCCATTTATAAAATGAAGGGCTTTGACTAAGTGTTTGCACAGGTTTCTCCAAGCACTGATATTCTGTGATTCTGTGATTTTAGGACTATCTGGGGAAATATTGAGCTGCAGTCCAAGAAAGTCCCAGCTGCCCTTGCCTGAACTGATTCTCGTTGTCCTACACAGAGACCTGAGGGGCGGAAGCCGAGCGAAGTGGCGCACAAGAGCATCGAGGCAGTGGTGGCTCGGCTAGAGAAGCAGAACGGCCTGAGCCTGGGCCATAACACGTGTCCGGAAGAGGTCTTCGTGGAGGCTTCGCCAGGCACAGAGGACATGGACAGTCTAGAAGATGCCGTGGTGCCCCGGGCTCTGTATGAGGAGCTGCTGCGCAACTACCAGCAGCAACAGGAGGAGATGCGCCACCTCCAGCAGGAGCTGGAGCGGACTCGGAGGCAGCTGGTGCAGCAGGCCAAGAAGCTCAAGGAGTACGGGGCACTTGTGTCCGAAATGAAGGAGCTCCGTGACCTTAACCGGAGGCTCCAGGACGTGCTGCTCCTGCGGCTTGGCAGCGGTGAGTGCCCCAGCAGGCCACCTACCACTCTACCTGGGCGGAGCACTTCTTGCAGATCCTCTTCCAGGAGGGAAAAGGGGAGAGGCAGGCCAAGTGCCCCTGAGGCTAGGGAAGGACAGGCACTTGGCTTTTCAGTAACCTCAAGAAAGAGTCACTCCCCACTCATAGTGAATCTGATAGGAGCTTATGTTTGCAGCAGGCTCGGCTATGGGAACATTGTCAAACGTGGCTCAGAGAATAAGAGCTGACAAAATATTTATCACTGCTTACTGATTTATGCATTCACTTAGCAAGGGGCAGTACCAGGGATTGTAGGGAACCTCTCCAGGGAGGTTTCAGGATAGTGAAAAGAAGTAGACATGATCCTAACAACATTTAGTTTAAGTCAGAAAGTGATAAATGCCAAAGGAGGATGCTGAAAAAATAATATGAAAAAGTTCAGGGGTTGGAGAAGTTATTTGTAGCTGAGGGTATAGAGAGACTTCAGTAAGGTACTGGGCTTTGAAGGGTGGGCAGTGTTTCAAGGCACAAGAGGAGGTTGAGCAGACTCTTGAGCATGGGAAAATAAATACCTGGAGCACACTGAGAGGATTAATGCAAGTGTGCTTTGAGGACAGAAGATGGAAGGCCTTGAAAACTTTACCAGCCTGGGATGTCTGGACTTATTTTGGTAGGAATGGAAAGCGTTAGAAAGCTTTTGAGCAGGGAGGCACGTGACCTTAGGAAGATGAATATAAAGACGTATAAAACTCCTTTGGTTTGCTCATAGAACTTAATAGGTTCTTATATTGCACCCTATTTTAACTAATGAAGTTTTTAGGTTTTCTGATCTAAAGTGGTTTAGAAGCAGGGATTGAGAAATCTGAAAGGCAGCAGCCTGGACAGCCAGAAGAGATGACTGCTTACCAGACAGGAAAAGACAGAAAATGCTTTCAGAACATAAGAATCCAGAACTGTAAAAGATAGAGGCCATTCAGTATTGAGAAAATCAGTATAACACAGGTTCATTGCCTCCATAGCCCCCGAGGACAGTAACTAATAACTCTGAGTTAGTGTGCTTTGCTTGAAGAAGGTGTAATCTAATCTAGAAATATCCCCAAAGTTAAAATCAAATACAGTTTTGCACTTATGACGGAAGATTTCCATTATCTAGATAATATATTTAGATATGAAGCTTCATTCTTCTTTGATATATTCTTACCCTACTTTACTTATATTTGTAGGTATCATTTGCTTCTTAAAATATGTCCCGAAAGTAGTGGCTCAGTAGATCTTCTGGATGGTCCAAGGAGTCAGCAGAGAGGCCTTTTCATGCCCTTGTCATAGAAAAGGAAACTACATTGGGACAGAGTCACTTAGGGAGGCAGAGGTAGAGTTCCGTCTCAACTCCAGTCACTCAGTTCATAGGCTGGAGTTTGTCCACTCCCCAACTCTGTCATTGCTTTGGCCATTGTGCCAAGTCACAGTCTATAGAGGTTCACAGGGACACTAAAAGTCACATATGGTTTGCCACTTCAAAAGTTAGTAAAATTCTTTATTAAAATAAAATCTCAAAGGGAAATCATAAATGTAAAAATTGGTAAAAGCTATATTGGTTTCATAGCATGATGGGGATGGGGATAACTGAAATTTTCAGAAAGAAAAAATGTTTCGCAATCTTGAAGTGAATAATTTTTACTTTCAGTGTGCTTCGTAGGCTGTGCCTTTTATAAACTTCTTGGAAGCTTGCGGGGAAGTACCCCAAAACAGAAATTCTTCGTACTTCTTGCAACTCCCAGGGAAAGTACCTGTTTTTCATGATTATGAACTGACCTTAAACTCCTAAGCCTCTGGGGTGGTAGGACACCCTGCATTTTACATCTTTACATGCCTCTTTTAGTCCTAAAACATTAAAAAAAAAAAAAAAAAAAAAACTTGACCTGAAGCATAGTTTCAGTGTCTCGATCTTTCTAGGCTCTCCCATCCCACAGGCCTTGAAGGCCATTACACAGGCCCGTGGCTAGCTCTTCCCTGATCTGAGTCACTATCATCATTATAATGGGTTGGACTTAACATAAATCAGCTTGAGCCCCAAGTATGCACAGAGCACCCACCCTGTCCTCTCAGGGCTGCAGCCATCCTGGAAAATCACACCCTCTGTCCCTCATCAGCAAAAGCTTAAAAGTCTGTTGATTCACACATGTTAATAAGAAAATAGTAATGTGCTAAGCTCCAAGACAAATCCACAAGAATAAAATAAAAGAAAGAATCTCTACCCTTAAAAGGCGGTTGTATGTTTTCATGGAAATATTGTCTTTGGAACCAGGCAGGCCTGGAATCAAATCCCAACTTCCCTACTTCTCAACTCTGTGGCTTTTGGAACCTTATGTCCTTCTTTCCTTTCTTCCTTCCTTTCCTATGACCTTGTTTTCTTCCACAAATACTTCCTGGTCTCCTGCTACATGCCAGGCATCTTGCCTAGTGTAGGAATTCAGTATATTTGCAATGCAGCTCTTGCCCTTTGCCCTTGAGGAGTTTAAAGTTTGATGAGGGAAACAGATCCTGAAACAATCAATGACAGCACAGTACATAAATGCCATTATAAGGACAAAACCATGGAGGACTGTGGGATAGCAGAGGGGAGTACCCACCTGATTTCGAGAGGTCAGAGAAGGAGGGCTTCCTGAAGGAAACAACTTTTAGGCTGAAGCCTGAGGGATGAATTTTTGCTACTGAAGCAGGAATGAGTAGATGGGGAGAGTGAGGAGCAATTTAGGCAAAGCGCATGTATGTCTCTGACCTTCAGTGCTATCATCTGTAAAATGGGAATGATAGATAGTGCTACAGCCTTGTGACACACAGCATAGTGCCTGACATTCTATTAATGCTTGATTACTGTTAGCTCCTATTCAACATCATTTAGTGGAGGAGCTAAGACAGGGTTAACTTTGACTTTTAACTCAGGCACCCCATCTGTAGTTGGCTATATGACCTTGGGCAGGTTAACTAACTTCTCTGCCTCAGTATCGTCTTACATTATAGAATGTAAGAAGGGTCATGTATGTTTGTTCATTTGTTTATACAGTCAGCTAACATTGACCAAATACTTTCTGAGCCTAGGAACTTGGGGAGATACAAAGAAGACTAAGACATTGGGAAGTAGGGAGAGGGTAGTGATAGAGGTAAACATGTAATCAAAATGCAGAGTACCAGTTCTGAGGGAGGGGTTACCATCTGAAGGGAGAACTCTCTCTTGGAAAGTCTGGTAAGGTATCCCCTTGCTGTAACAGATCTTGATCTATAAACACTACTAAGAAGGCAGAGAGCAACCAGAAAGCAAATGAGAGACCCTTGTTTGACTCTCAGCTTCACTGGCCCTCTGAGAAGCATGTCCTGGCTTAGGGTTGAGGTAGGGCCCAGGCTTTGCCATTCTCTGCCCCCTGGGCCTCATTTGAGTGTTGCTCCTGGAGGCACATCCTTGAGTGTTTTCATCCATCCACCTCAGCTAAGGACCTAGTTCAAGGGCCTTTGCCTGGCTTGGGTGCTGGATCATTCACACCATAATGGGCAAATTCAGAGATGAGAGAGGCCAACAGGTTAGGAGGTGCTTAGTTTTCAAAAGAAATCTACCTGCCAGAAGTATCATTATTGACTCACCCAAGTAGTGGAGTCCTAAGAGCGGTAGATGGTAGTGGAGAGCAGTAGTCTGGTCTTTACAGACTGAAGGTCAGGAGACCCTGGGGAGACTGATGGGGACTCAGAGTGGGAAGCGGGTCTGTTAGCAGCCAGGAGTTATAATGGCACACCTTGGAAGGTTGGGGTCGGAAAGGTGGAGCCACATCCAAGGGTGGGGGATAGCAGCAAGAGAGTACGTTTCAGAGGCTTCGTTGAATCATACACGTCTTCATTCATACATTTATTCATTCATTCGTTCTACACACAAGAAAAGATGGATTTAACAGGAAGTGTTCCAACATAGAGTCATGGAATTGTGAAAGAACTTAGGCTATAGACTGTTACCCTCATTTTGCTGACAAGGAAACAATTCCAGAAAGTGTCACTGGCTTATTCCTAAGGGTCTCCTGACCCCTCGTCCTGTGTGCCTCTCTCTGGACTCTCACCCACCTGGCCTTCTTTAGCTCTTAGACTTTTTTCCCAACCTGGGGGTGCCCCTCCATCCACTTTACTCCCACCAAGGACATTATCTCTCTTTGTAAAACAGAACTTTCCTTGTCTATGATCTTAGCATGGTAAACAACCCTTTCTGGGAAGGAAGCTAGTCCTCCTCCACTGTCAAAAATAAATAAGGAAGCATACGTAATAACTTTGGCCCTGTGACCCCCATATTGTAAGTGTTCAATAAATGCCAGTCCCCTTTTCCTTTTTCTCCCTTTCCTGCCCACCCTCCCCCAAATAAGTAAATGCCGAGGATGGACAAAGCATGGTGGCATACCAATTTACAAGGTACAGTTGTTTTTGCGTGTATATGCATCTATTCCTTATTTATTTTAGTGAACAATTATTGAGGGTTTCCTTTGTGCCAGGACTGGATTAGGTGCTGGGAATAATATAATGAACAAGACAGACTGCCTTTTTAAAAACAATTCACAAGTAGATTAGAACAGTGCATTTAAACTGGGCGTTGGCCACCACAGAGAATTTTATGGGATTAAGGGAAGCAGAACAATAGAGACCCAACTGGGGGAGGGTGAACCCCCGTGTGTGAGAATGGAGTAAATTCGAGGGTCTCTCTTGGTTTCTCCTCAGCTAGATTCCCTGTTCTTAGAAGGCAAAGTCCAAGGCTACGGTGTCCTCCCCAGTTTCTTACACTGTAAGTACCACTTAGATAGTATAATTCATTGTGGTGTGACTCGGGTAACATTAGTTCAAATAAGATTCTCAAGGGCTCTATGAGGAATACAAAGAGGAGCAGACATAATCCTTGCTTTCAGGATGCACACAAGTCTCACAGGGAACACAAACATGTATGCAGCATGACACCAAGCAAATAAAATCATTCT